AAAAAAAACGCGAGCGTTGAAACATCACGGGAGCAGCTGTTTCCTGTACCTCTGCGAGCAAAGCGGAGTCATTCTTGACCAATGCAACCAAAATGGAACGAGGAGCCAAACCTTGGCACCCATCCCCCCACACCCATAGAGTCAGAATATGTATCGATTTAAAGCTTTCGTGACTGCAGGGATTCATCTTCTTGGTTCTTTCGGTAAAGTCACGTAGAAGGGAAGTAAGACGCGTCTGAAACGCTGTCTCCCCGACAGACCTGGTCTTCACCCGAGGACGGCTGCTTGCGTTGTGGCCGAAACGTCATGAGAATTATTTTATTATGTTTTATTTTTATCATTTTATTACTTCCCTTCTACGTGACTTTACCGAAAGAACCAAGAAGATCAGAATATGTATTGACGCTGGAGGAATCCGATGAGCATTGAAGCTCTTTTTTTCACAGATGTCCAGTCGGGGCAGGGGTTCGGAACTTTATAGCAATAAACAATGCCTCACCCACCCACCCAACCAACCCATGCCCCATCATCATCATCATCACCATCCACGGGGCAGATTGCCCGGGTAGGTGTCCACACTGCACATTTCGTCATTTGTTGTTTTCCACTTTCCTCTGCGTCTTGTACCAATATGCTCGCTCTCAAGGTAGTGGCCACATCGTTCTGGCACCAATCTCTGATGTCGTCATTACGCTTCCCCGGCCCCCGCCCACCCTCCACCGCTGCCCCGCCCACCAATTGGAACCTTGAGTATCTATCAACCAGGATACTTCATTCATCTAAACACATTCCTGCAGAGGGAGCTGGTAGGAACGTTGGGTTGCTCGGTCAATGGTCTGCAGGGTCAACGGCGGCGTGGTGTATTCCGCAAATATGCCCGACTGTGAGGGCGGGCACAAGCCGGCGTGAGTAGGTTAAACGTTGAGTTTTATAAGGGCACCACGGGGTGACCAGCCCCTCCCCACCCAGCCCCTCCCCACCCAGCCCCTCCCCACCCCACCCAGCCCCTCCCACCCTCCCCACCCAGCCCCTCCCTGCACGACGGACACAATAATCTCCTGTGGACTGGTGGAACCAGTGGGTTCCTACCAGTATAAGGAGCCGCTCATTCGAAGAGATACAAATTAAGTGCAAGGCATTCGGTGGGTGGGCGCGTGCACACCCACTCCACGTTTGTCCGAATTAAGTCCCGTTAGGGGCCGTCCATAAATGACGTCACGCGATTTTGGACGATTTTTTACCCCCCCCCCCCTTGTAACACGGCGTCACAAAAAGTCAGACCCCCCCCCCTAAAATATGAAGTCAGACCCCCCCCCCCCAAAATACCTTATTATTTACTTTGGCCTTCAATTAAGTTGACCTTGGTTCCATTGTTCTATGTAAACATGAGGTGGTGGGTTCGGTCCCGACCCTTGACGCCTGCTGCTGTATATTTGGAGTTTGCGTGTCTCTCTCTCCCCGTGGTCGCGTGGATTTTATCCGTGTCCTTCCGTTTTTCCCTTCACATTTAGAATCCGCGAGCGCTTAGAGAATTTGCCTGCAATACACTTCCACGTAATGAAAAGCCAACTTCGCTAAGCTGTCATTTGTAATGGACAGGTCTCGTCTGAAAAAGAGCCACACAGCTAAAGTGGGCCTTGCTTGGTGCAATATTTTTCCTTTGTGTATTTTATGTTCTGTCCTGGAGAGCCTTGCGTGATATATACTCATAATGAATCAAATGTGATGGAGCATCGTTGAGAGTCTGGCATTAAATATATATATAACACATCAGAAGGTTGTCTCTGGTGTAGAGATCGCAATCGGGTACCCGATACCCGTGCCCTACCCGATACCCAGCGTCCCGTACCCGGCCAGGTACGGGTACCCGTTTGCGACCCTGGTGCGGCCGGGTATGGGTACGGGTAGGCCGTGAGTCACTGGTGAGTCACTGGTGAGTCACCGTTTGTCACTCATTTCCCAACGTCTTGTCTCTTCTCACAATTCAAGTTCCTAGAATCAACCCACCCGCGCCTGCAACATGGCTTCATCCCAGAGGTCGTAATCGGGTACCCGTACCCTACCCGATACCCGGCCGGGTACGGGTAGCCGGGTATCGGGTAGGGTACTGGTACGGGTACCCGTTTGCGACCCTGGTGCGGCCGGGTACGGGTACGGGTAAGGAATCAAAACCCGTTTGCGACCTCTGCTCTGGTGTTGGCCTATAAGTTCCAAAGACAATGCATATATTATCAAATCATGTTAGTTTGCATGTTTTGCCACAACTACTGTGTGGTTAATGTAGACTTGATTCCTTGCAAAAGGTATATCATTTGGTGTTTTAACATCTGAACACCTGTTTTATTGGCACAAATGGGTAAACCTATTCTTATTTAACACGTAGTAAGTAGTAGTGAGGCTTTTGTAACCAATATTATCCCTAATAAAGACATGTTTGTTTCGCCAGAAGTACTGTGTGTGGTTAATGAACACTTGGGGCATTGCAAAAGCCATCTAATATAGGTGTTTGAAAATCTTAACACCTCCTGTTTTATTGGCACAAAGGGGTAAAACCTATTCTAATTTAACACGTAGTAAGCAGTAGTAGGGCTTTCTCGAACATTATTATTCATAACAGAGCATGTTTGTTTCCATGCTTTTTGTTGTTGTCACAAGCACTTGTGTGTGGTTAATGCACATTCGATTCCTTGCAACACCTCCTGTTTTATTGCCACAAAGGGGGTCAAACCCATTCCCACGTTTCACACGTGACCTTGTGTGACATGCACCACGTGTGCTGTGACGTCAACGGAAGAGAGCTTTGTGCCCGTTAGCGACGAGGCTGAGCGTTGTGGTAAACCGCCTTTTCAAAGCATCTACATCTGCAGAACTTGAAGAACCAGTGGCATATACATCTGCAGAACTTGAAGAACCAGTGGCATCTACATCTGCAGAACTTGAAGAACCGGTGGCATCTACATCTGCAGAACTTGAAGAACCGGTGACATCTACATCTGAAGAACGTGAAGAACCAGTGGCATCTACATCTGCAGAACTTGAAGAACCAGTGGCATCTACATCTGCAGAACGTGAAGAACCAGTGGCATCTACATCTGCAGAACTTGAAGAACCGGTGACATCTACATCTGAAGAACGTGAAGAACCAGTGGCATCTACATCTGCAAAACTTGAAGAACCGGTGGCATCTACATATGCAGAAATTGAATAACCAGTGGCATCTGCATCTGCAGAACATGAAGAACCAGTGGCATCTACATCTGCAGAACATCTACATCTACATGTGATTATACAACTTGTAAAGACAGTCCCCGTGTTTGGTGAACACGCCGTAAAACGTGTTTGGAATGGACGGGAGTAAAGTTGGGATTCTAGATTTGTATCGTGGAATTTTTGCCTCACTTGATACAGTAAATCTGGCTGTGACGGTCCCACCTGATGACGGAGACTTGTGTTGCCTCCGAAACGTCGTGATTTATTATTTTATTTCTATTCTTATTTTTGCTAATTAAAAAAAAAGTACCTACGTGACTTTACCGAAAAAACCTAAGAGTAGTAAAGTTGGCACTTACGAACAAATCGACTTACGAACAGACACAACTAGAAGATACCTCGTTCGTAAGCCGAGGAGTCACCCATGTACGTTCGTAAGTTGAGGAGTTCCCCTGTACGTTGTAATGAATGAAGATAACCATACACGTTGCCAGCAGAGGGCAGTTGCAAGTCGTTCACGTTCGGCACTGCCACTGCTTTTAAATTGCAAACACTTCCTGTGTGTCTTCTTGGTTCTTTCGGTAAAGTCACGTAGAAGGGAAGTAATAAAATAATAAAAATAAAACATAATAAAATTATTCGCACGACGTCGTGAGAATAATTTTATTATGTTTTATTTGTATTATTTTATTACTTCCCTTCTACGTGACTTTACCGAAAGAACCAAGAAGATGAATCCCTGCAGTCACGAAAGCTTTAAATCAAAAAAAAATTACTTCCTGTGTGTTGAATCAAATCGGTAGGCAAACCAAAGGACTCGTTCACCAATTGGAATCGAATCGTTACACCGATTTTAAATGGAATCGAATCGTTAACCAATCTAATCGCATTTTTTACCAAAAATAAATGGAATCGTTCACCCAAGGTAGTCGAGTCGTTAGCTAATTGCAATGGAATTCGTTACACCCAATGTAATGAAACCGTTAACCATTTATAATCGAATCGTTACACGAAAAGATTCATAGAAGCTTTCTTCATGGAATCGAATCGTTAACCTATTGGAATCGAATCGTTGCCGGTAAGAATGAATAGAATCGTTACCCACCGGAATCGAATCTTTACCGAAGGGAATCTTTCTCGCAATTGAATCGATTCGTTACACCTTAGATAAAAGGATCGTAACCCATGGAATCGAATCGTGAACTATTGGAATCGAATTATGACACGTCTGTATCAATATAATCGCTCCCCTTTGAATCAAATCGTTAATCAATTGGAATTGAATCGGTACACGTAAGGATGAATGGAGTCGTTACCCAAAGAAATAGAATCGTTTTACCAATTGAATCCAATTGTTACACCAAAAGTTAATGGAATCGTTACCCAAAGGAATGGAATCGTTACCCCAAATGAGTAGAATCGTTACCCCAAAATAATAGAATCGTTACTCAATGAATCGAATCGTTACCCGATTGGAATCGAAGCCTTACACGTAAGAATCAACATAATCGTTACCCATTGACTCAAATCGTTAACCAAATAAAATAGAACCGTCACACGATACGATTAATAGATTCGTTACCCAAAGGTAACTAAATCGTCTTCCCAATCGATTCGAACCGTTACACTAAATTCTAATAGAATCGTTAACCGAGGGAATCGAATCGTTACCCTCTCTCCCTCCCTCCCCCCACGTGACCGCGCTCCTGGCCAATGGGAGGGCGGCTCGCGCCCCGTTCAAGTCGCGTGGCCGCGTACGCGGGAACGAGCTCAGACGGAGCTGGGACCCCGTGGCGAGCGGCTGTGGACCCGTGGAACGAGAGCCTCTGGAACTACCGCTGATCGAATTGTCATTTAATTTGCGCTCATCGTAATACGAAGGAGCGAGTTAACGAGACCAGATTCGGTGACTGTAAAATAGTCGTCGGGGGGGGAAAGAAAAAAAAATCGAGAATTTTACGAGTTTGGGGTGGTGGGGGGCGGGCAGCATTTGGGAGTTTCAAACAAGCGGTGTTGGTCAAACATCACACTCGGGAAGGTCACGAACAGCGGTGACGAAGAACGGCAATCATTGTAATTGTAGACAAGCCGGCTAAGTAGTTGAAGCAGCAGCAGCAACAACAACCGCAGTCGACTCGAGCAGCAGCAGTAGTAGTATAACAGCATCGCCATGGCGAAGGTTCAAGTCAACAATGTGGTGGTGCTTGATAATCCATCGCCCTTCTTCAACCCCTTCCAGTTCGAGATCACCTTCGAGTGCACCGAGGATCTACTCGAAGGTTCGTGCTGTGACCCTCTGCGTGTCGGTGTGTAGCTTCTTGTCGTCGAATGTTAAACGCGTCACCTCGTGTGTGTGTGTGATCACGAGGTTGTGCTGAAGCTGGTTGTGTTTTAGAGTTTGTTGTTTGGCGTTTGCGAGTCGGTGAACGTCGACGAATTGGCGCTTGAAAATGAATTGGTGGCTGTTTGTGGTGGCGGCGGCGGCGACTTGCCAAATCGTCGTTTCAACATCGGAAGATCGTAACGAGTTTATCATCAATGGGATCATCATCACGAGTTTATCAATGGGATCAGCATCACGAGTTATTCATTGGGATCATCATCAGCAGTTATAATAATTGGGATCATTATCAGCAGTTATCATTGGGATAATCACGAGTTCATCATCAGCAGTTATAATCATTGGGATCATCATCAGCAGTTATAATCATTGGAATCATCATCACGAGTTATAATCATTGGGATTATCATCAGGAGTTATAATCATTGGGATCATCATCACGAGTTATAATCATTGGGATCATCAGCAGCAGTTATAATCATTGGGATTATCATCAGCAGTTATAATCATTGGGATCATCATCACGAGTTCATCATCAGCAGTTATAATCATTGGGAGCATCATGAGTTTATCATTGGGATCATCATCACGAGTTATAATCATTGGGATCATCACGAGTTCATCATCAGCAGTTATAATCATTGGGATCATCGTCAGGATTTATAATCATTGGGATCATCATCACGAGTTCATCATCAGCAGTTATAATCATTGGGATCATCATCACGAGTTATAATCATTTGGATCATCATCAGGATGTATAATCACACGGTCAAAGGAATCATCATGGCCCGGCCTCACTGCTCGTTGAATGAAGATCTCTCACGCAAGCGGACTTTTGAAGCACACTAACTAACACAAGACAAACCCCATGGAAGTAAAACAACGACTGTGAAAAGACTTTAATCATAACAAGCACAATCTCCTACGGGTTTTGTTTGGCTTTGTGTGCAACATTTCACCGTTTCCATCCCTTTTGAAACGCACGAAATTACCGCGGGACCCATTAAAAAACACAAAACCTTGCAGATCGTCTGCCTTGTGCGGCTCGGTTACAATGAGTAGTGTTTGGTTTTTATATCAGTTATCTCGCTCACGCTTTTACACTTTTATTATTGTTAACGGTGGCAACCAAATGTTGCTAGTTTTTTTTTAAACCTTATTTTTATTGTAAATGTGAAAAGGCCCATGTGATGATGTCTGACTTTTGTGCAACCCACACTTGCTTTGTCGTGGTTCACATCTAAGTAGAGGACACGTTGACATCGTTAAGAGTTTGTGATACAAAGCGAGATGAGGAGGGGGATGTTACTACATTTTATTCCGAATATATATTTTGGCAAACTATTAATTGTACGTAGGCGACACCGCGCCTAATAACGCCACAATCTCCACTGTACATTGTGACGCCTGGTTATCATAATAGTTATACATAACGATACTTCATATCTCGTTAACGCTACTTTAACGTATTACGCCAATTAATCTTACTACTTTTTGTTAGCGTAGCGTATTTTTAAAATGTTTTATCGGTTTTAGCAGCGGGGCTGGTGGTGGTGTTTGAGGGCCTTGTGTTGCAGGCTTTAAGCGAAATATAACAGCGAGTGTCGAGAATTTATCGGCGTTTAAGTTTGCGGTTTGCGTATTTTGTTGTTTGTGTAGTTGTGTGAGTGTTAGGGTAAGTGTTTTTATTAGTAGTGTTGTTTAAAATAACAAGTAAAATCTATCTGAGGCCCTAATTTGGCGCTAAAAAGCGCGCGATAATTAATTTGGCGCAATTTAAGTTTCGAATCTTTCGTAATAACCCGGGGGGTTAAACAAACAAAGACGAACGCAGCGGTATTAAATAACAACGGAGAGTTTAAAAGATAAAAAACTAAAAACCGCGGTATTCAATTGACGGCGAACACTTTGTAGCCGTCAATATTGTACGTGCCACGCACTGTACACAACGCGTTTGGGGCGAGATTTTGTTTAGATTTAAAACAAATGAATAACGACAAAGTATTAAAATTAAAAACCCGTGATGTAAAATGAAGATACCCTACGCTACAATGTTGTTAAACGGCGGGGTAAAGCGGATTTCGGGAATGTGTAAATGTAGATTGGACTCGCGCGCACTGTACATTGGCGTACAGTGCAATTTGGCGCGATTTTCTGTATTTCACTTTGCGATAATCGATAATGATAAAATGTTATTCAATAGATGAGTAAAAGCGACAGACACCGCCGTGCAACAATGCTATAGTTTAAAAACGTTAAATGCCAAAACTTAGCGCAATTTCAATTCGATTATCCGAGCGACGTTTCAATTGCAATAAAGGATCGCGCGGCAATTTAAAACGACCCTGAAATGTCTTCTTGGTTCTTTCGGTAAAGTCGAGTAGAAGGGAAATAATAAAATAATAAAAATACAACAATTAAGTAACTTGTATTATTTCCCTTCTACGTGACTTTACCGAAAGAACCAAAATAATAAAAATAACATAATAAAATGTATTATTTCCCTTCTACGTGACTTTACTGAAAGAACCAAAATAATAAAAAATAAAATAATAAACTAAATTTCATTATTTCCCTTCTACGTGACTTTACCGAAAGAACCAAAAAGATGAATCCCTACAGTCACGAAAGCTTGAAATCGAAAAAAAAACCCCGAAATGTTTAAGCATTAAATGCACAACGTGATTAGTTAAGGACACACTTGTAGCCAGACGAACGACGACTTTCAGTAACGCCGCATATTGTGGTGGAGCACTTGTTGGTACAACACAATTTGGCGCGATTTTTGCTGTGTTATTTAGTCCCAAGTGTATTAAATACACCGTAATAAGCGTTTAACCGCGTAAATTACAAAGGCGCTTGTACAAACTTAAATAATACGAGGAAAAATAGGAGTCGTAAATTCACATCCTTTGCCAGCAGAGGCAACAATAGACAATATTGTATCTAGTTGTACCGTGCAATGCTCAACCTTCTATGGCACTAGTCAGTGCCAATCCAAACAGGGAAGTATAGAAGATTCTAGATTTTAAGTTTTCGTGACTGCAAGGATTCATACTCTTAGTTTTTTTCGGTAAAGTCACGTAGGTAGAAATGTTTAAATAAATTAACTCACGACGTTTCGGAAGCAACGCAAGCCTCCGTCATCAGGTGTAACTGCTCCAGTGAAATTGCTGTAGCAATACATCTCATTGCTGTAGTAATTTCACTGGAGCAGTTACACCTGATGACGGAGGCTTGCGTTGCTTCCGAAACGTCGTGAGTTGATTTATTTTAATAAAAACTACCTACGTGACTTTACCGAAAAAACCAAAGAGTATGAATCCTTGAAGTCACAAAAACTTCAAATCTAGAATCTTCTATACTTCACTGCTTGGATTGGCACTGACCAGTGCAGTGAATTATGGTAAAAATTACCACCACAACGTGGGGGAGAGACCCTCATTCCAGCAGTGGATTGACAAAAGCGGTGAACACGGAAATACTGTCCATTCACAGACAACACCGTATTGGACCTACAATATTATCTGAGTTCAGTGATTTAATTACGATAAACAGTGCTCTGTATATTAAGCCATGTCGCTAGACTAGGTGGCGAGTGGGGTGGTCGAGATGAACGATGGAACGCCGGCTAAAGGAGTGAGAGTGTTTGCGAACCAGACATTGTAATAACATACCTGTCAACCCCTTATCAGTGCCCTGCCTTATTACAGATCAATTCAGATCTTATTGGTCACCCCGTGCCCTTATAAATCTCAAAGTTCATCCTACAAAGTCCCATCACAAGGGAGAACCACAGACAAAAACAACGATTTTGCCCGTATTGAAACAGCTGTATGGACCTGAAAACTCAATTTGCCTGTACAAGAATACAGGTGAAACCGTACGGGAAACAACCTCGATTCCCGATGACCCAGAAATCATCACAGTTCATTGATTATCTGCGATTAGTCGTTAACTTTATTTCGAGATGTGTAGGAGCGCCGTTGTTTTTAAAGACATTGTTACTCACCGCAGGAAACTGTAGCAACACGACCGCCACACTCTACTCTGCCACACGCCGGTTCCATTCCGTTGACGTGCACGTAACGGAGTTGGCCAAACATCCTAATATAGGACCACAGAACTCGGGCATTTGTTGGCGCCGCTTCTGGCCGCATACCTAGTGCTTCACATGGGTTTTCCCCCACGCCTCTGAATCTACAGAAACTGTAGCTTTTTGGTTTGTTGTCCTTCCCCAACACCTCTGCCCGCTTAGCACGGTCGGCTACGTACGGTGCGAAAGCATTTCAACATGCATGCAGCACGTGGACAGAATTTGCGACGTTATATATATTTTTTACTATTTTTTGTAACGTAGACCTGGAGTGGAAGATCATCTACGTGGGCTCGGCCGAGAGCGAGGAGTACGACCAGACGCTGGACTCGGTGCTCGTGGGGCCTGTCCCCGCCGGTTGCCACATGTTCGTCTTCCAGGTACCGATCTCTCTCTCTCTGTTCCTCTACGTCTGTCTCTCCTCCTTACTCCATCCACTGTGTCGTCGCGATTGCGGTCGGTTTCTTGTTTTTTTGTGCGGCGACTTATTTTTTGCGTCGTCTCGAAACGTCGTGTTTTGTCCATGAGTGAATGTATGCGTTTCGACGTTGGACATCATAATTGAATAGCGCTATCGTCGTCACCGGCAGCATTACCGCAGCAGTGGCCAAGCGGTGTTTCCCGAGCCAAATGCGTCTCTTTAATTTATCACGTGGCTCTATCGAAGGGGCGTCACGTAGAAATGTACAATCACAGTCGAAGCCGAAGAATATTGAACGTCTCCCGTGCTGTACCGAAAACTATCACTATATATCAACTTTTATACAATAAACTCGATTATCCGTGCTAAGGACGGGGAAGATTGCCGCGGATTATACATAAATATCCATTTTCCACGGTTCTCTATGCCTAAAACTAACGATCGACCGATGGATTTGCGTGCTCTGATAACACTGCTCACTACGTGGATAGGAGAGCTATGCCAACCAACATCAATCAAACTCTGCCCACTTGTAAAGGCTTGCAACTGTAGTACTTAATGGGAAATTCCATGAGTTATTAATTTCTACACGGTAGACTCGATAATCCGCAAATCGGATAAACCACACGTGGATAATCGAGTCTACTGTATATATATATATATATACTTGGCTCTTGGTAGAACTCGCGGGGACTTTTTGGCTCATGATCTGTTAGAGGTTGGCCACCCCTGCTGCATTAACGTAATGATGATCATCATAGCCAGCAGTTGTCCTTAATCGTCAAACGCACTGTGCACAAAACTTGGTAAAACCTGCTTTAATTTATCTTATCTCTTAACGATCGTTGATTCCGGCTCAACTGTTGCACTTGTAAGTCTGGACATTTCGTCAGCCTTCGACACCATCAACCATTCGCTCCTTACTTCCCTCCTGAAATCCGACTTCGGTATATGCGGCTCAGCACTCAAGTGGATAGCTTCGTACCTTTCTGACCGGCAATCCTCAGTCAGGGTGGGCATGTCCACATCGCCTGAAACAAGAGCATTATGCGGGGTTCCCCAGGGCTCTGTTCTAGGTCCCCTGCTCTTCACAGCCTACACTTCCCCGATCGGCCGACTCATTGCAAGCTTCGGTGTTAAGCATCACTCATACGCGGATGACACGATTCTATTCACCGCCATCGATTCTAGCAATGCATCTGGATTCGAGAGGCTCTCGGAATGTACCACCGCCGTGCAACAATGGTTCACTGCACACAACCTAGCCCTAAATCCGAGAAAGTCAGTGGCCATCATGTTAGGTACCAAGCAACGTCTCAATTCAGCAGCACTCCCCACACACATACACATCTTCGGTCATAGCATCAAGTTCACCAACCACTTCAGCTACCTCGGTGTCATCCTAGATTCAACTTTATCCTTCGACCGTCAAACCAACCATATCATCAGCTCATGTAACTTTCACCTGAAGGCTCTTAGACACATACGTCCTCTCATCTCTACTGAAATTGCCATCACTTTGGCATGTTGCATAGTTGGGTCTCGCCTTGACTATTGTAACTCCGTCCTTGTCCGGACCTCCGCTGGCAACCTAAGGAAGCTTCAAAGACTACAAAATAACCTAGCACGCGTCGTCATTGCCCACACTCATCCCCGCCTCGACTCACTAGATCGTCTCCGCGCTCTCAACTGGCTCCCCATTGCCAGTAGGGTCACATACAAGACCGCCTGCCTCTGCCACAATGCCTTCATATCCGCCTGCCCGCCGTATCTTTCTTCATTACTGACAACTTGCAGCTCAGCACACGGCAGATGCCTGCGCAGCGCGACTCACGACCTCCTCTCAATACCAAGATCCAGGATGGTCATGTCTACGCGCCGCTTCTCGGTGGCAGCCCCAACAGTCTGGAACGATATCCCTCTGCACATTCGCAGCATCACCTCAATCGCCTCCTTCAAGAGACACTTAAAAACTCACCTCTACAATCATGCTTTTGAGCGACTCTGAGCTTGGCTCCGCGCCTCTGAGTTGCGGCCACTACGTCTGCAAATTTGCGCGCGTTACAAATTGTACTATTATTATTATGTGCTATTGTGCCTGTGACCGAATCAGCTGGAATACACCCCGATTTTAGTCCTGTAGGCAAACTACGCAGGGTTTAGCGCTCAACACCTGCGATGAGCACGGTTGCAAAAGAAGTTCCACATACATATAGGTACGTACATCGTGCTTGGAAGGGCGACCACTATGCATGAAGCAGCCGGGTGTTATAGGCTGCTGGTGCTGCTGCTGATTACATTGTAGGCGGCAGATGGAAGTGTGGCAAATTGCATTGGTTAAATTGTGTCCTGTTCCATCTTCCCCTTGCTGCTGCCCTCAATCTTCTTCCCCTCCGTCGTTCTATTTCACGTGCCTTCTCCCTCTCTGTGTCTTTATGCCTCCCTGTATCTCCCTCCGTGGAACTTGTCTCTCTCCATATTCCTCCTCGGCCTGCTCCAAATTATTTCTCAAACATCCTCCCTGTCACCCTCTGTCTTCCTATATCGCTCCATCTCCTCCCCTCCATCTTCCTGTCTCTCCATCTTCCTTCATCTACTTATATCTTGTCATCTTCCTAAGCCCATCTCCTTACATTCATCTTCCTGTCTCCCTCCATCTTCCTATATCTCTCACCATCTTCATCTGTCCATCTTCTTCCCCTCCATCTTCCTCTCTGTCCATCTCCTTCACCCCCCAATCCTATCTCTCTCAATCTTATTCACCCCTACATCTTGCTCTGTCAATATCCCTCCCACCCATCTCTCCCCTCTTTCTTTCTCTCCATCTGCGCCCCCCCCCCCCCCCGCTCGCTGTAGGCGATGGCAGCGAACCCGGAGCTGATCCCTGACACGGACGCGGTGGGCGTCACGGTGGTGCTCATCACGTGCACGTACCGCAACCAGGAGTTCATCCGCATTGGCTACTACGTCAACAACGAGTACATCGACCCCGAGCTCAAGGAGAACCCTCCCGCCAAACCGGATTACTCCAAGGTGCGCCACGGTTGGCGAGACGTTGACTACCGCGCCAGGTTATGCAGGAGGGCGTGGGTTCAATCCAGGGGTCGCAAACAGGTTTTGATTCCTTACCCGTACCCGGCCGCACCAGGGTTTCAAACGGGTACCCGTACCCGGCTGTACCCTACCCGTACCTGGCCGGGTAGGGTACGGATATCGGGTACCTGATTGCGACCTCTGGGATGAAGCCATGTTGCAGGTGCGGGTGGGTTGATTCTAGGAACTTGAATTGTGAGAAGAGACAAGACGTTGGGAAATGAGTGACAAACGGTTACTCACCAGTGACTCACGGCCTGCCCGTACCCGGCCGCACCAGGGTCGCAACTGGGTACCCGTACCCGGCCGAGTACGGGTAGCAGGGTATCAGGTAGAGTACGGGTATCGAGTACCCGGTTGCGACCTCTGGTTCAATCCCCCCGACCCTGACGATGCCTGCTGCATATTTGACTGACCATCGAACAAAGACGGTCAAAGCATCGCGTGCTTTTGGATGCGCTTCTACGGCCGTCTGGAGCACTCTTCTTCCGTCCGATATTAGGAAGCCACTGGAGGAGCTATGCACTTTTATATCGAGATTGAAACCTCATTTCTTTAAAACTGCTTTTTGTGTTTAGTTTGTTGTCCTTACCCCGCAACTTCCGATTAGCACGGTTGGCTATGTACGTTGTGAAAGGAGTTCAACATGCATATTTGGAGTTTGCATGTTTCTCTCTCCCTGTGATTGTGTGGATTTTTCTCTGGGTCCTCCGTTTTTGTTCCCTCCACGTTGAGAATCGACGTGCATTCAGGGTATTTGGCTGTTATACATTTCTACGTGATAAGCCACTTCTCTGAGCTATCGTTTGTGGCCAGGTCACTTCTGAAAACGAGATATATGGCTTATTGGGCCTTACCTGATAAAATAAAAATAGTCTTAATAGTTGAGTTTTTTTAATCGGGCCCTATTCTTGGGCCCTGTGAAAATAAACCTGGTTATATCCATCGCCTCGTTACTTCTTAATCTGACAATTCGTGGACTGTGATAATTGTCCCTGGCTGAAATTCTTGACTTTTAACACTTAATCTAGCTTCAATTCCTGGGCTCCTCAGGCCTAATCTGGCTCAGCCCTTGATATTCGTAACACTTAATCTGGCTTAATCCGTGGGTCGTGATGATAAACCTGGCCCAATCGCTGTCCTTTTAGCACTAAATGAGGCCTTTATGACCACTTAAAAGCTTAATTTTAGCTCAAGTTTGAGATCGTTGATGATATAGCTGGTTAAAACTAAACCAGGCTTTTTTTCCTGGGGCGCCACGGGAGGCGAGATGTTAACTACCTCGCCTGATATGCAGGAGGTTGTGGGTTCGATCCCGAAACCTGTATACAGTAGAACCTCTGGTCACGAACGCTTCTGACCACGACCAAATCGGGTTCCGACCAAATAATTCACAACATTTTTTAATCTGGTCACGAACACAAACTCGGGTGGCGATCAAACACGGCCGCGGCCAATTTCCCCTTCCGCGCCATTTTTTTGTAAGCGCCAAATTTCCTGTTGTTTGTTTACAAACAACACAAAGCGTAACAGTTATGTATATAACTTTTGTTATGTAAAATTCCTAGAAAGATATTAGTTTTGTGAGTGTAGTCATACCCCTCCCCCCTCATTCAAGCCGTAATTTAGAGAGCGAAAGCGCGGAGTACGTAAATCGCTAACATAAGAACCCGTTAATCTCTTCTCGCATCATTCATACGATGATGCGGTGAAGTAAACGTTCATAAACTATTTTTGTGCTTAAAAATCTAAAAAAAACTATTTATATACAGTTCGTAGGAGTCTGGAACGGATTAATCGTATTTACATACAATCCAATGGGGAAATTAGGTTCGAATCGGATTGCGACCAAAGTTATGGAATGAATTATAGTCGTGACCAGAGGTTCTACTATATTTTGAGTTTGCGAGTTTCTCTCCTCGTGGTCTCGTGGCTTTTCTCCAGGTCCTCCGGTTTTTCCCCTCCACATTTAGAATCAACTTCACACGTATTAGAGTATTTTAGCTGCTTTCAATTTCCACGTGATGATAAACTGCTTCGTTGGGCCATCATTTGCGATAGCCAGGCCGCTTCTGAAAAAGAGCCACATGGCTCAGTGGGGCCTTACCTGGTTTATTCAATTTAAAAAAATTATTATTAGGTTTTTTTCGGTAAAGTCACGTAGGTAAAAAATTTATAAAATAAAAATAAAAATCACGACGTTTCGGAGGCAACACAAGCTTCCGTCTTCAGGTGGAACCGTCACAGCACGATAGCTGTATCAAGTGAGAGAAATTCCAAGAAACAGTATTTGTATATATACTGGTTGAGGGTGGAAGGAGCCAAGGTAGGCCCTGAATATTATTTTTTGTGAGGTTCGGTGCAGCAGTATATATACAAATACTGTTTCTTGGAATTTCTCTCACTTGATACAGCTAATCGTGCTGTGACGGTTCCACCTGAAGACGGAAGCTTGTGTTGCCTCCGAAACGTCGTGATTTTATTTTACTTTTATCAATTTTAATTTTTTACCTACGTGACTTTACCGAAAAAACCTAAGAATATGAATCCTTGCAGTCACGAAAGCTTCAAATCTAGAATAAAAAAACTAGTTGTGATGGTGAACTTGCCGCACTATTCTCAGCCTTTTGGTGATAATGAACCTGCCTCGGTCCTTTGGCCTTTGCAATGCAGCTCCTGGTATCCAACCGAGCTCCTATTCCTGGGCCCTGGTAATGAACACAGAATCAGAATCTTTACGTAGACTAGATGAAGAATCCGATGCGCTGTGAAGCTCACACATGTCCAGTCGGGGTGGAATCACAATAACGACGTCCCACTCTCCGTGGTATATTCCCCTCACAGCTCCAAAGGAACGTGCTGGGCACAAGCCCCCGCGTCACGCGGTTCCAGATCAACTGGGACGACTCGCAGAAAGTGGCGGAGCGTGAGAACGTCGACCCGGCACTGGCATCGAACTCTGCGGCGTCCATGACGGCGGCGGCGACGGCGGCCTCGCCGGGACTGTCCACGAAGGGGTTGCCAGCCTTCCCACCGCCACCGCCGCTCGGCATGTCGTCCTCCGCCCTCGCCCTCAACGTCCACCCCGACAACAGCAACTCCATGGACTGCCTCTGACTTGGCGCCTCCTCTTCCGTCGTTGTCGTTTGTCGCGTTTCCGAAATTGCCGCGGGATTAACAAAAACTAAACAGGAAAACCGTTAAGTTGTTCCAACGACCACGTCGTCCGTCTCTCGCAACCGCACTCCGTAAAGGTTTTTTTTTTGTTGTTCCGTGGCATGGTGTGATGCCCTCCCCCCCACCCCACCATCACCACCGCCTTGTTTGTGTGCTGTTTTTTTATATCGACAGGAAGCGACTTTGCTTTTCGGTTGACCGACATGAAACCCTTGCAGGCCGTCCACCACCACGTCCTATCCGCTACCCCCTACTTTTTTGGTTCACTCCTTTTTACTCCTCACAGCTCCAGTGTGCGTGGTATGAGGCAGACGGAGCGGAGAATTTGCTTCGGGATGTGGGTGGGAGAGAGGCGGGGGTGGCGTGACGTTGGCGAGATGTTAACTACCTCGCCTGGTATGCAGGAGGTCGTGGGTTCGATCCCGACCCTGACGCCTGCTGCTGTCTTTGGAGTTTTCGATCTGTCTCTCTCCCCTGTGGGTCGCGTGGATTTTTCTCCGGGGCCTCTGGTTTTTCCTCTCCACATTTAGAATCAAGGTCACGCGTTTAGAGTATTTGGCCGTTCGTAAATTTACACACTATGATGATAAGCCACTTCGTTGAGTTATCATTTGTAATAGCCAGGTCCCTACTGGAAAAATAGCTACATAGCTAAGTGGGGCCTGAAAACCTGGTAAAATAAAAGTAGTTTAGTTAGATGAGGGGTTTTTATCGAGGTAGTCCGAAGGCTTCGGTGCGCCGTGAGGGTCACTTGCCGTTGACCTCCAGTGTGGAAAGCTATGGAAAAGCCGCTCCCGTGTTTTTGTCGTGACAGGTTCAGAACTTTGGAGGTGGCTGAATAATCCCCCCGTGGGCTCATTCTGCCCATGTTGGTATTGAGTCACCTTTCCCTCTACCGCCTCCCCCCACTCCAAATTGTTTCCTGGCTTTCTAAAGAAATTAGCTTTTTCTCGTGCGCTGCAAAGCAATCGTTTCAGCCCAGTTACAAGATGAGGTTAAAGCACATAACGGAATCTGCTTGTTCTAAATTGGCGTTGTCTAGGTTTGTCACAACGTTAGCCTCCATATCCCCCATACGCCACCACCACCCCCCCCCCAAAGCCATTTCATGAATTGTCACAATTTGGCGTTTCAGTTTGATTCAAGAATTAATATTTTCGTCTACCTTTGGCGCTGTCTTGTTTGTGTTGTCTCTTTCCCCCCTCCCCTGCTACCCGTCTCTTGGCTGTGCATTATCCTACACTCAAGTCAGGGCGCGTGTTTGGCAAGAGTATTTTGTGCAACGTTAGTTATCAGGCTCCTGTTACCACGCACGATTTAGAAAGAAGCGTGTTGCTCTTAGAGTTGTGAGAATAGATTTCGGTCGGTGTGTCGACCCGTGTCATGATTACGCGCCCAAGTGTTGACGCCCGTCTCCCGAGATAACAACTGTAAGCCTTAATACGTACTTACGTTTAACTTATTTCGCGCCGTACGTTGGCAACCGGCGCTAATTGGAGGCGAGGGGGAAGGATAAACTAAACACAAAGCAGTTCTTTAAGAAATTCGTTTTCAATTTAGATTATTTTAAAGTCACTCGTGACATTACGGCAGTCGCACAATCGGGATATATATTGGGGGGGGGGGGGAGTGGGGGAACGCACATTGAACAAATGTGAATAATAATCAAACGGGAGTGAGACCACACGCTATTATTACCTGCGAGGCGTGCTACACGCCATTCACAAATCGGTGTCATGACGTCGTTGACGTGTTGAGAACCGCTGTGGTGGTGGTGCCTATGTCCTGTGCCGTTCTTTTGCCTGGGTACTTTTGTAGGTTCGTTAGGAAAGATCAGATTTGCGGAGCGGAAGGGGGTGCGGGGAGGGGTTTCTTTTGTTCGCACACCTGCTCACACAGTTGATGAGTTGTAATATTTATTTTTATGAATGCGCTTAAGGGGGGAGGTGCGACGGGATGGATGATGAGGTGGATGACTTAATGGCCAAGAGGGGTCTTTGAGCCCAGTTGGCTCAACAATTTCTTATCTCTCCCAGCCAGGGTGGCAAATGCTAATAATGATTTTAAGAAAGCGTTTGGGGTTTCTTTTCTTCCTCGATCACAAATGTGTACGATGTTGTCGAAGGGTGCCGTAGAATGTCCGATTTTATAGATTGTTGTTTTGAGAGAACTAATTTGATAGGAAACGTCTACGGGGGAAAGGGAAAAAAAAAATCTAAAATGCATATTAAGTGCGTGCCGTGTCTATGAAAATGGACAATTGATCTAAAGCTAACCTTTCTGACCATGGTAGTGGTGGTGTTGGCGGATAGCGGTCAAGTTGAATGCTGCTAGTATTCGCCACCTCGGCCGGTAAAGACCACAACTTCCCGCTTTGCCCCCTTGGTTCACGGGCTAATAGCGAATCGGATAAATGTTTGTTGGCCGTTGTTAGAAGTGGAGGTGGCACCGTGTTGTGTGTGTGTGTGGTTTTATCGTTATTGGCGGTGCGGGGAAGGCCGGAGGAAGTTGTTTGTTCCATGGAGTTAGGTTGTGCGTGGGATTGAAGCGGAGGAGCTGTCACGCTTGCGTGCGAGAGCGACCATGTTGAAATAATAGAGTCAAAAGTAACAAATGCATTTTATATAAGTACTATGTATAGTTAATAAAGTTAAAGTTATGTATTCACACACTCTTTGTGAAAATGTGTTAATCGTGTTTTTACATGGCAGTTTTTTTTACGTAAATTACCATCCCGTAATCTTTGCTTTCGGCACATGTGTATGCGCGCGCGTGTGTGTGTGTACGTTGATATTCTCTGGCACCGTACTTTGCCAACCATGCTAATCGGAGGTTGCGGTGGTGGTGGGGGGGGCGGAAGACAAGCTTAACAACAAGCTAAACAACAAGCAAGGCACGTTGAACGGTGGCTCGCCAGACAATTAACGCTGGACCCGTCATTGGCCAATTCGCGTATGCAAGCTTCCTTTCTACGATCACATATTGCCTGACCTTGCTTTGGCCTTAAAGATCACCCCCCCCCCCCCCCCATTACTGCCTGCTGGAGGGGTTGGGCGGCAAGCGCCGTCTGCAAGCGCCTACAACGACCAGCTCCGGCACGCGAAGGGACACGTCACGTACAGCGGGGCCCACTCCCTTGCATCCCCTGCACCTGCAAACCAACGGTTCAAGGCGAATAAACCTTTCTGGAGACTCGCCCGGGGGGTAGTGGCGTCGGTCTCGTGGCCCCCATTTCACCACTTTTTGCTACTCTCGCCAGCCATGGCCGAGAGTCGAACCCAGTGGGCTTTGGGGAGACGGGTCGACATCCTGTGTGACGCCAGCTCGACGTCGAATTACCAGCCCTAATCGATGCGCACGCGCGAACGAAGTTGTCCCAAAGCTGGGCAGCTATCAAGATGTCACTGCAAGCTTGTAGGTCACCCTGTGATGGTGGTGGTGGTGGTAGCGGTGGCTTCCGCTTGGCCCTCCGATGAGACGAGACCTTCACGGGGGATTAATTAAGAATTGAGGCTAAGCGTGGTTTAAGGCTGAACATCCTCCCCTGGTTACCGTATGGGACAGGGTATCATCCACGGGCGAGATGCAGCCATTTGACAGCGCCATAATGATTTAGAAATGTCGCCCGCGTTTCTTTGCGCAGGACCTCTTGCCACGAAGGATATCCATCGCCCTTGCGGGCGTCGGAAAGCGTCGCTTTGTCACCAGATTTGGCGCGCCAAGTGTTTTTTTTCCCCCGATGTTAAGAATGCCGTCGCGTTTCAATAACGTGTTCGTATTGCGTGCGGTAATGCCTTGAAATTGTTTTTTTTTTGGAATTGGATTAGGTTGTCTTTTTTAGGTTTTGCATGGTAGGGTGGGAGGGGGGGGTTGTTTGGATTTTTTTAGTTTTTTTTGTTTGCTTCCAATGTTTCTGCACACGTGTGTGCGTTAATGTCTCGTGTTATCCCCTGGGTCTCTGTTGCACAAGAGATGATTCTAAATGGGCTGTCGTGCAAAAAAAACGAAACATCTGTCATACTGTACATACGCCCCTCACAAATTGTTTCTACTTAGCACTGTCAAAGGTTCTGCAATAAAAAATAATAATAAGGCACTGGAAATTTTACAGGGTTTTTCCTTGTTTTTAAGAAAGAACAGATTTGCAATTACGTATTTTCGTTCCGAAAAGTCTGCAAATTGTCGCAGCCTGTGCGTGGGTGTCCCCGTTCACCGCCAAATCTCGGGAACGGCACAAGCAGCTCGGCGTTAATTTTATATTTAGAGGCGTAGTCGCAGCTACGTTTCTAAAGACGTTACTCGCCGCAGGCAACCGTAGCGACACGACTGCAGTACTCTCCGATAGCTGGCGCCGAAAAGTCACACGCCCCCAGCGCTCTTTCACACACGTGTCGAGTGGCCTTGTGCAGTAATGGTGAGCAAACCGGACTTGCAAAATCCAGAAAGTTGCCGATTTCATCCAAGCGTGGGAGTTTTAACAACGGGCACGTTTATTAGAATATTTTACTGGTAGGAACCACCTGGTTCCACCAGCCCATGGGATTATTGTGTCCGTCCGTCGTGCATACAAAAATGGGAGGGGTGGGGCTGGGTGGAGAGGGGAGGGTGTGGAGGGTGGGGCTGGGTGGGGAGGGGCTGGTCACCCCGTGGTGCCCTTATAAAACTCAACGTTTAACCTACTCACGCCGGCTTGTGCCTCACAGTCGGCCATATTTGCGTTCCTACCAGCTCCCTCCGCACGAATGTGTTATTTATACCGGAGGAATGATAAATACCTTCACCCCCTCTTTCCGCAGTATAAACCATAATCATTTTTTATTATTACACACTTTCATTAAACTTGCCGTGTTTGTTGATATTCTTTTGAAATGTTTTGACGAAGCTGAACGAGCTGAAATTGTTTACACACCGACTCGCTTCCTCGCGTGACGATTCAAGATTTCGTTTTATCAACAAAAAAAGCCGGTCCAGATCCCACCCATCGTGGTAACTTCGTGTTTTAACTAAATGTTGACTAATTAGTAGTACATTCCACCCAACCTCCCCCCCCCCATGTTTTTGCTATCACGAATGGTCGCGCCCACCCCTTCCATTTGACCAAGAGCAACAAGTAAGCACAAAAATACAACAAAGTAATGAAAAAAAAATCGATTTTTTAATGCGCACACTTTTATTTGTACTCAAGTAGAAAGTAAATGGCTTTGACCCTGGAATTTTTCATCGAATTTTACGTGCTCAATAAAAGTGTGTGGCTTTTCGATGTGTTAAATTTTCTTTGTGCGAGCCACGCACGTAAACATTTGATTAATTCCGGGGTCAAAAGCATTTATTTTATACTTTTGAGTGCAAATGAAAAAGTATGCATTGGAAGGCTTGTGTTTTTTTACCTCTTTTTTACCAGGTAAGCCCCACTGAGATATGTAGCTATTTTTCACAAATGGTCGCTCAACGAAGTGGCAATTCGTCGTGTGGACATGTATAGCAACCAAATACTCTCAAGCCGTGATGTTGATTATAAATGTGGTGGTGGTGAAAACCCGAAGGATCCGGAGAAAAATCCACGCGACCACGGGGAGAGAGACACGCAAACTCCAAATATGCACCAGGCGTCAAGATCGGGATCGAACCCACAACCTCCTGTATACCTGGCGAAGTAGCTAACATCTCTCCACCGTGGCGCCCCTAAATAGTATAAATACACCGCATCTAATCGATTGCCAAGTAATGTGCATGGTGGCCAGTGTGGTAAAGGAGGCTAGAATTTTCTTCTTAGAATACCCTCCGATGAAGGTCATTTTGAAAGAAGGGGTGTGATAACAAAAAACATGCAGGGCTGTGCCTTCGTGCGAGAGTTTCTGTGTCACTATGTGTGTCTCTGCGAATCTGTGTGGGTCTAATTCTTTGTTTCTTTCGGTTAAGTCACGTCTTAAGATAAAATAATAAATTAAAATAATAGCATATTACGACGTTTCGATTGCAACACAAGCAATCATCAGGCATAAAAGAAATAGCAACAAAAATCTAACTAGAAAACTATAGACAGACATACAAGCAGACAGACATCACAACGGCACACAGAGAGAGGACACATATCGGCACAAAGAGAGGGGTCGTTTCTGTGACGGTCCCTTAAATATAGAGAGGGGGGCGGGGACGGAGAGAGGGAGGGGGCAGAGAAAAATAGCATATCAGTGAGTGTACCGATATGTGTCCTCTCTCTGTGTGCCGTTGTGATGTCTGTCTGCTTGTATGTCTGTCTATAGTTTTCTAGTTAGATTTTTGTTGCTATTTCTTTTATGCCTGATGATGATTGCTTGTGTTGCAATCGAAACGTCGTAATATGCTATTATTTTAATTTATTATTTTATCTTTAGACGTGACTTAACCGAAAGAAACAAAGAATAATTCCTGCAGTCACGAAAGCTCCAAAATTAAGACTGTGTGGGTCTGTGTGGGTCTCTGCGAGTCTGTGAATCTGCGATTCTGTGGGTCTCTGCGAATCGTGCGTGTGGGTCTCTGCGGGTCTGTGGATCTCTGTGAGTTTATCTGTGGGTATCTCTGCAAGTCTTGTTGGGTGTCTGAATGGCGGCACCAAAATAATCCGTGAACTAGGCAGCCAACGTCGTCGAACGGCTCAAGTGGAAACGAGACGTCAATTTGTGACGTCTGTTCCAAAAAAAAATCGGCTGCTCATCTTTGCGACACGCGATTAGCAAATTCAAACGATGATAAAAAAGATGAGCCCTTCATGGTGCTGGTGACAAACCTGTTAACTCATACGGTTAACCCGTATTCTTGTCCAGTGAAATTGAATTTTAAGGTCCATACAGCGTACAGCCGTTTCGATACGGGCCAAAAAATAATTTGTTCTTGTTTCTCCCTTATGATGGGACTTTGTAGGATGAACGTTGAGATTTCTCAGGGTGACCAATAAGGTCTGAATTGGTCTGTAATAAAGTATGGCACTGCTAAGTGGGTTGATAGGTATGCGGTGACGACTGGATGTGAAATGAGGAGGACGAGTGACGGGGAACGTTTTGTGACAATGACGGGAGGAGGGGGGGGGGGAGACTTTCCGCATTCACCACCTCGCTAATTGGGGGGGGGGGGGGGGGGAGGAGGGGGGTGGGGCAATTAGCGAGACGCTGAATTAATTGGACGTCCGCGGGATGTGCGTGCAGTTGACCTTTCGCACAAACCCTCAAAGCGCCCCCAGCCCCCCTCCACCTTTTCGTCGGTCGCCCGGGGTCGTTGAGATTGTGAGTGCTAGCGTTGGTGCTGTGGTGTGCGGTGTGGTGTGTGGGGAGCGGTAGTGTAGCGGTTAGCGCGCTGCGCTATGAACCTGGCGACCCGGGTTCGATTCCCGCTCACGGCTAACACCAGTGACGATTATCTGAACCGGTCCTGGGCCTCCCCTAGGTCGACTCAGCCGTAAATGAGTACCTGGTGCGGTGTGTAAACATCGCCACTAGGGAGACAAAGGCGGTCGGGCGTGGTGCTGGCCACCCACCCCCTCGTGTACCGTTCCGGCCTTCATAGGTGCTCGCTAACAGCACTTGCCCCTACAGTCTGTTCAGGCTATACGGGGGATCTTTGGTGTGGTGTGTGGTGCAACGAGAGTGGGGGGCGGTGGTGAAGCGGTTAGCGCGGCTGCACAACGAACCCGGCG